GGACCTTTGGTCTAACCCTACGTGGCCAGACCTCAGTACACAGAAGAGATTTGGTTTACGCTAAAAGCAGCCACTATAATAAAGATTAAAAACATGCATCTTCTTCAAGAGTCTGCCACCAGCACTGGCTGGAGCTGCGGGGCTGGGTGGGATGGGAGAGGAGGGACATGTCCCATCACACCATGTCCAGCTCAAGGGCGGCCATTCACTTCTGATCTGGTTGGGGGAAAGGAAGGGACCTGCAGGATGTTTGGACCAGGTGAGCTGGAAAAAGCAGCAGATGTTGGCGCATGAAAAAAATCCCTAGCTAATGATAAAGAGCATGGTCTCTTGATCACTTTTAATAATGCTTTTCCAAAAATAATTACTGCTCCTTTTCTTAAAAATTCAATTTATTTTATGGAAGCTAAAAACCAGGTTAAGACAATCAGTAAAAGTCCCAGGCTGAGGATCCATGCTAGAGATGTAATGGGGTAATGGCTTTTTTTTAAAGGCGATTCACGGCTGAGTGACTCCATTCTGCCAGCACTAACTCTCTTTCTCCTCCTGCTCCTTCTCTGGAGTCACTGCTGCCTTTCACATCCCTTCATATGCTCCAAATTCCATTTTCATTCAACAAACTCAGTGAAATGCAGTAAAATCATGTCCACAAGCTGCAGCTTTCCTGTTCTCAGTACTGCCCCAGTTACTATCGTGTGGCTTTACCCAAAACCCATCCGGCTTCACCGACAGAAAGCAAGTTACCCCCTGGGGATGACACATCAGATCAACGCGGTTTTAAGCCTGAGAACGAGGTAAAGTGAAACAAAGAGGTAATCTGGGAAAAGCAGAAAACACCCCAAAACCACCCTAGGAACATCCCAATGGGACAGTCTCGGTAGGTGTCCTGCTGCCAGCTCAAGACCCTCTTCGCCAACCATGCAAAAAACCTCGGAAAAGCATCCAAATTCCTAATATTTCCTAAATGGCACTTTTCAGACCAGTGAGAGAGACACACTTATTGGCCTAATGCCTCTTCAGATGGAAATTAATGCAAAGCCTCTGAAATTACCACCGTCTCTACAGGACTAACGCTGCCATGGGAATGGGGGACAAACCCTGCCCTTTCATTGCCTGCTGATGTCAATAGAAAGTGTCTGCTACTGTGTGTGGGGGCAGAAAGCTGAAGAATGGCTGGAGAGTGGGGAAAGTCACTTTTTTTTTTTTTTAAAAAAAAAAAAAGGAAAGAAACCCAGAAAAGCATGTCTTTCCAAGAGACAGCCTTCGCTCTGCACCTTTCAGTGGAACCGGGGGAGTTTTGACTTGATTTCTCCATCATGAACCATCTGATAATGCACCGAAATACGATGACAACCCCATTTCGGATAGCACCAACAATCCAGAGACCTTCTGGTGCTCTTCTGGGTGACTATCAGTCTGGGCTGGTGGTGAGACCTAGTCCCTGCAACAGGCCATTGCTTCGCACCCAACTCGTGCACTCCTGAGACAGGCGCAAGCATCGCTTTGACAGGGAAAAAAAGCCTAAAATGAGCACTTGGCATTTCCTTACCATGTTGCCTTCATCATCGCAGTCATCACAGTCCTGTCGGGGGTCATCCAGGTGAAGCTGGTGCAGCAGCAGACCCGGAGAGGTCTTCCCGTTGCAGTCCTGGTGGTCAGAGGTGGAGGTTCGGCTGCTGTGCATGCTACTGGTCCGGTACAGGGAAGGCACCTGCAGGGTATCCTGGAGGTCGAAGGAGCCTTTTGTTTCCAGTGACTCCATGCGATGAGGCAAAGAGCCATTGAAGCTGCCGGCCCGGCTGGAGTGCTCCTCATCTGAGCTCTCCCCCTCCTCCGAGCTCTCCTTCCCCTCCCCGGAGAGGAGGGATCTGCGCTCGCCGCTCTGCCCCCGACGCTTGAGGCTGGGGGCTCGGCCCGTGCCCGTTCCGCCT